CTGATATTATCACATCACATATGTATAATACGGAATAAAAATTAAAATCTGATATTTTAGTATAGATCTCGGCTCTAGCTAACAGAAGGATAATGGAAATAGTAAGTCCAACAGATAGCCTATAACGACATATTAAATAAATATAGCCTTCAATGTGGCACGTGTATCGCTCAGGCACTGAAGACCACATGAAATGGATTAAAACGCAAACCAATCAGCTCGTGGTTGACTCAAAGGATATTTTTTCATCTTAAACCTGGGTGTACCTTCATTATCGAACGTCCGGGGTACTTGACAGCAAACGATGTCCGGCTTGCGAGCGATAAATTTTACTTTTACTCAAATTAATTTACTTTGTATCTTAAGATTTATATTTAAATTCAAATTTCATTTTAACGAACCCACTAAAACAAAAACAGTCATTGCAAAAATTCTGACGTAATATCTGTATACCTTAGTAAATTGGAATTTTAGGGTATTCTTTTCGAATAAATGAGAAAAACCAATACACCGAAGTAGGTAATTTAATTTAAATGCAAATTATCCTTTTTGCAAAAATACAAAGATACAACACCAAAAAATGTAACCTTCCCTTTCCGGTAAAACAATTTTATATTTTATGCATAATTTCCGGTTTCATGAATTTGTAAGCACAAGTTACATTCTGAGAAACGTTAATGCCGTGGTTTTGGTTATAAAGTAATAAGGATGTGAGGATGTAAGTACCTCTATCTATAAATATGTATGAAAAATTAAACAGCGCCCCCTATATTATAGCCGCCCTAGGGGGCGCTGTTTAATTTTTCATACAAAATTTTTCGATGGCACTTTGAATACGCAAACGAAACGAACTCGAAAGTTTTTCGTAATAGAGGTACTGATAGTTTAAATTTAAAAATGTAGTTTACAGAACCGTCATGACTAAGCAGAGCAACTTCTCCGCGTAGAAGTCGAAAATCGTATGCGCCTATTAATTTTTAAATTCGAAAGTTTGTGAGTAACTATGGATGCAGGATGTATGTATGTTTGTTACATTGTGACGCTTTCACGCAAAAGCTGCTGACCGAATTTTAATGATACTTGTATCGCGGCAAAACATTTGTATAGACTAACTTTGGTGGCGACGCGGGCTACAAAAGCTATATATGTATAGATTTAATATGTTATCACTCAAACAAAATGGCAATTGCGTTCTTCAGCCGTATCGGAAGTGACGAGGATTGGTAGCTCTTTGACCCACGTAGTCGTTGACGTTTTTACGACGCAGTTACATGGAATTTTCCGGCATAAAACGATGTAATAAAAAAAACATATCGATACCTNGATCGACATCAGATAGAATTGACATGTCCTAGTACTGGCTGGGGATCTATGAATAATTTTAGTGAGGCAAGAATTTATGATCTACATTGTTAATTACAAATCGCATCAAGTAACGCTTGCCTCTTCCTTCATACAAAATAACATTATTTCAAAATAGCTGTATGTACCTATAATGCCTACGTACGAAATTAATTGTACCGACTCGTTGGCCTAAAAACGTTGGCGTATCGTATTATGGTGTTTTTAGCTTTGCGAGTCAGGAATTAGTAAAAATATCAAGCTTAAAAATGATATAAGTACAATATACATGTACATACAATGTACAGCTTGCAAGATCGCAGACAACTCTTGGATAATATACTTCTGCACAAGATCATAAACGGCGCGGTGGACTGTCCAAAGTTGTTGGAATCCATCAACCTAAATGTTCAAGTTACCTCGACGCAAACAAGATACGTACCCTTTTTTGTGCAGGGTTCCAAGAGCAACCTGGGTCACCATGCCACCATGAATAGGCTTCAGAGGCAATATAATAGGTACAGCAAGGAGGGAGATATAGATATCTTTTCTGACTCGCTGGGGAAATTTAAGAAAAAAATACAACTCTCATTTGCACATGTGTCCGTTTAGCCAAGATCTGCCAGTTAAATTTGAGGTTTAAAATTGTTCTGAATAGAAATAAATTAAATTGAATATTGTGTCAAAATCAGCTGTACGTTTATGTTTCACATTCTGTCAAAGTCCACTTTTGCATGCCGTGGCAGCCTGTAATTAAGATAGTACCTAGTCCTAAGACAAAATTATGTATGTAAACCCCTTTGCTTGAATTTGTGCCTGTCTTGTTGGTTGTCCTAATTAAATAAATAAATATAAAAATTACAGATATAAACAATTTACTTAGACGAGAGTCAGCATAAAAGATTTATTATTATTTTTAATTTCACAAATGTGAATGTTTAGTTGTAAATAAAAATGTCAATAAACTTGTATCGCGTACTACAAAATTTCGTCAAGACATGTGCTCCACTCTACTGTACTGCAAAAACAATTAACAGATAAATATTCATTATATTCGGAATCTATTAACATAATAATCTTAATACGCACGTACGAGTATGTTACACAGTATATTATTTATTCGTAATACAGCAATCTGCTACCGTATTTGCCGTAAGTGTTATTATCCCCATCAGTCAATCGTAGTATCAGTCTGTAACACATTTTCCATGAAATTAATCACACAAGTGATTGTGCAAACGATGAGGGATTACTGGAAGCAATAATATTGCTTATATTTGTCATCGTTATCTAAATTGTTTGCTGAAGCTAATCGTCCGCCATTCGTATCCTGGTTGTTACTAAAATTATCTTGACGGTGATATGGTCCAAAACTGTTGATCTATTGTTAACATACAAGCTGGTTAATGGACTAACCTTGTATTAATGTCAGTTTAGGAAGTAAGCTAATAAAAAAGTATGAACTTCCATAGCAGGTACATACATAAATGTAATTTCAGCCTACATAGAATAAAATGTAAAAGACGGGTTGCATTAAAAAATCTGAAAATATGATTCAAAATACAGGGTGCAAGAGACAGATCCTTACAGATCGCAAAAAGAAATATCAAAAATATAGATTTATATCCAAACCTATCACCAAACTCTATAATTCACGTCAACATACATACTCGTATTATGCGTCGGCCGTTTGGTGTAGTGGTTCAGAGCGGACTACTATGCCGAGAGGTCCCGGGTTCGATTCCCGGCCGGGCAGAAATTGAAATGATGAATTTTAATTTCTGTGACGGGTCTGGGTGTTACTATGTATAATATGTATGTATTTAAAAAAAAAAGTATATAAGTAGTATATCCGTTAAGCTAGCAACACAAGCATTAAGTTGCTTAATTTGGGGCTAGCTGGCGCTGTGTGAAATTGTCCAAAGATTTATTTATTTATTTATTTATTATGGTGCCAAAGTGACTTACAATGCCCAGTTTATGAGTTCGGTCATAAAAAGTTAATGTACTTACTGTCACCAACCGTATTTGCATTACTACGCTAGGACACTCCAAGGAAAATTAAAAATATTGTCTTAAAACGCGGGAACAGCGTGATTTTTCTGAATTATCTTAGAATAATAGTCTTAATTAGAGTTAATTAGAGGTAACACGGTCCCTTTTACCCTACATTTATTTTTTATTCGTTGTGTCAACATGAAAAATATTTTCACAAAAATTTACGCGTGAATCCGTGTGTGCTTCAAATAGCTCAAAATGCTGCATGAATTTGGATGTGCTGTGCCTGCTGTGTGACCTAATTGTATGCATTGTCATGCTTCCCACATACGAAACAGTTCCTGAAGGTCTGACCACACGTTGTTTTACAATACAAATGTATGAGCATTCGAGTTCACCTTGATAGAAAATAGTACCTATAAACTTCTACTTTTGCACTAATGTAAGGATGTAAAATTATTATTAAAGCTGAACTAAATTGATAAATATCTTATTTGAAAATAGCGATGTAATATTTCGTATTGTGATAATTTAAGTAGGTAGCTCGGTTTACTACAATGAAGATGGTTAAATGTAAGCGCGGGCGTCAAATTTAGTTTGTCACATGAAGACCGACTTAATTGACACTTTTCGTAATTTGGTCAATTAACTCATGTTTACATACCTAATGTGTAAATAATAATACTGTAAAGTTTAATCAAAATCCATTCAATAGTTTTTGTGTGACAGGATAACTAACATCCATCCGTCGATTCTTTCACATTTCGAATATAAAGTAGGAAGTAGGTATGGAAGATAGAAATGAGATTAAACTAACACAGCTCGATGCTAACTAAGGAAAGCTCGGAAACTTAACGCATATAAAGTTGAACAAATAAAATGTTTCTACTTTGTTTGTATACAAAGATTATTGTATCTACGTGGACAAGATAAACATATTTCGTAATTTTCATTCTGATCGACATTATTTTTTAGAAAATTAAAGGTTTAAAAAATACTTATCTCAAATTAATATCACATCAAAGTAACAGAACATAAGGCTTTTTTTTCATTTTCACAACAATGCCTTACCTAAATAGAAAATCTAAATGAAGGGAAAGCTTAAAAAGTCTCCGTATAAGTACACGTTTTGCCGGTAAAATGTATAATATTCTGCCGATATGACCTATAAATTTAATGTAATGTAAAACAATATGTTGGGCGCATTCATTATTTTCTTTTTGTTGGAAAACAAATTCTTTATAAACTAAGTATTCTGCATTTTTATTTTACATCGTGTGATACCTACCTAACCCTATTTTTTGTAAGAAATCGATAAAGAAGTATATTTTAATGACTCATTTATTGTAACCGAAATTTTAACATAACGATTACTGACGGGAATTTTTTAAATGAATGTGACCAAAAGTACTCGTAACTTTTATATAAGTAAATAAACATAAATAAAATGCTTTGAAATATTAACGCAACGTTTACGGTAGCGTTTATAACGCCTCAATAATATTGCTACGAATTTCGTAGCACGTAGCACGTAACGCGTAGGGCGGGCGTAGCGGGGTTTCGTAGAAGCCGTCAGCGTCACCTACGCGCTACGGAGTCTATAGCTCGCTGAGGCTCGCGCGGTCAGGTATATAAGCAGCGGCGGTCCATACAACCGCTCATTTGCTTTCGAAAAGCATCAGCAGAGGGCACAGAAGCTTAGCTGAGCTGTCAGAGACTTCGCGCTTTCACAACCACAAATAAGGTAAGGTATAAGTCATTATTTTATTATTTTATAAAGAAAATAAACACATAAACATTAATTTCAAAAAATTAAGATATCTTATTTTATTCATAAGGTGCAAGGTGGTTTAAATGAAAAGAGCTTTCAAGTTATTACATTTAATTTGAAAAAATGTTGGTAACGATATTACTTATTGTATTTCTACCAATATAGGTAAATACTAATGTCAGTTGTTAAAGTAAAATTTATAGAAATCAGAACTTTTTAATCGTCTATGATTGACTTTTATGCTCTTCTAGCTAAACCTTTTTCAAATAAGTTGACGTGCGCTTTTTTCGCCAAGTCACGGCAATATTGATATTTAATTAATTAACTTCTTAGTCATAGGTGAGGCAAATATGAAGAGTATATTTACTAATTTCCGCAGTACCCTTGACTCAACAGAATTGGCGGTCATTGCCAATAAGGCCTGTACGAACAGCTACTTATTTTATTTGATACCAACGCTATGAAAGTATCATCATTTAATAAAAAAAATCTTGATATTTGGTTATTTACACATAATGTGATTAGTGTGTGTGTTTTNTTTTGAGTCATGATTTTTATCGGCAGAAAAACAAATTTAAAACCGATTTCTTAAATACCTCAAAATTTTATATTACTCATTTACTAATGAAAACGTCATGATCCTAAATACACATTAATAAATTAGGTCCCTTGGGTGATTCTGCCGCCATACCACTCCAAACTTATACGCAGGATGTCCGGAGCATGTTTAATGCGTTTGCGGGGCTACTTGTTGAGTGAAACTCAAGTGGACTAGTCTAGCTCTAACACAAACTTTCTCGCTACTTTAGATTGTGTTTTATTTTCAACAACCAATCAATATTACTTATTCATACTCTTATCTTGTAACCACCAGATCTTCCTTATATGACCTCATTCTAAGAAGTTGTTCGTTTTACGTGACAGTTAGGAGAAACTTTTAGGTCGAACCATTTGGATACCAAACTGTGTTTCGATCAATAAATTCTATAAAAACTTCTTTGTGTAAACAAATTGGGACAAAAGATTTTGATTTAAAAAAGTATTTTTAAGTATGTTTATATCCGTTGTCTAGTGCCCAAAGCTTTTCAAATTCAAATTCAAATTCAAAACGTTTATTTGCTAAAAACACAGTAATACAGGGTGACAATATTAAATAGGATCATGTGTTTAGTCTGATCGCGACGTGCAAAAATTATAGGATTCAATAATATAAAATTCACAACATTTTTTAAATTGAAACTACGAAACTGTGTGTTAAGAAATATTGTTTCTTCCTATATTGCGGCCATTCTCAGATGAGCTAGTTTTTGCGTGTCCGGGCTGTTAAATCGTTAAAAATGACAAATTAGAGACATGCAAGTATTTTTATATGTTACTTAATAACCCTATCCAGTTGTGCATTAAATCATAGGCCTCTATTTCAAGTATTTGTGACTAAATTAATTTCATGAACCTCTGTTCTCTAATTACCGTGACGCGTCCGCACACCGACTTAATGTTAAAAGTTGGCTGTAATTTTTATGTCGTATAGATTTGGTTTACTCCATTCAACATTTTAAAGAGTAGAAAAGATTGTCTTATGCATAGCAAAATATCTATTCAATAGAACCATTCTGTAAATAATTAGAATTAAAAAACTGCTTGTCCGAGCGAAAGTCCTAATTCCCGTAACGTTTTCTGTTTTTGGGCACACAAGCCTAAATAATAATATTTGACACATCATTTACGCGCGCGGCGCGAGCCCTTAGTTAGTTCTAAGACATGTTAGCAAGTAGACGTCTATTGCGTTGGCGTACCGTCGATGAATTGCGTAAGAGTATAATTACCATATCTTTGGTTTTCAATTTTTCTATTTACCATGTCCTTATTTTTATAGTAGATTTTTAAAGGTAGATCCACGTTGTTAATTTAAATAGAATCAGTACTCTGGCCTCCATACGTTGTAGTAAGACAGTATTTGCTTACCCTGCAGATTTTGGAAATTTTGAAGAAAAACTATCGTTTTATAATTTCCATGTACTAATTACCATATATTTATAATCACCGTTGTATGAAATTATTACCTACAAATTGCACTCACGATTGAATCAGGATGATGATAAAATATGAAATATACCTAGACTTTCGTATAACAACTTTACGGACTTTTCTTCCAATCTGACATCAAAATTTTGAAAAGCGTTCGAGTAACCTCAAAATAGATTCGATTTCATGACGAATGTTCAGCTTCAGTTGCTGCATGGTTGTTGGATTTTAGAGTATATTTTAACCCATAAGGTAAACCCACAAAAAGAAGTTAGCTGGAGTGAAATCGGGGCTTCCTGATGGCCAGGAGATGTCACCCCTGAGTGAAACATGTCTTTAACCAGATATTTATTTTCACTATTAATATCATTAAAATTAACATGTTAAATCATTAATTAATTCTAATATAATACCATTGAAATCTAGCCATATTACCTTTGCCCTAAGAAGATGAATTGTCCAACAGTAACACCTACCTGGCGTGATCACATTAAGAACAAAAGGGAACAAATGAACAGACAATGGGCATTTTCAAGACGAGAGTGTATAGGCACTTTGTACCATCCTAGACTGCATCCTACCTGCTTTGTTATGCATATAAAAAACTTCGTGATATGCAATGGATACTGGGCAGAAGTAACTTGGAGAACAAACTATATACAAATGCATCCTAAGACCCATGTAGACATATGGCATTGACTTAGCCTGGCAAATATAGAAATACTTTAACGTTTTCAAAATAAAGTATTAAAAATCTTGAGCTGTGCACCTTGGTTTACAAAGTCCACTGAAGTGATACCAAACGTCAAAGGGGGTGTAGAAAATTCCTGTAAAGCTTACAAACAAAGACTAGACCGTCATGAAATCTATTTGCTACATCCCTTCTAAATTCTGAGAGTTTTGCATTCAGGCTCAGGAGAAAGCGAAAAGCGTCAATCTGAAAACTTATTGGTAAAAGAATCGAGGTAACAAATCATGGGATATGCAGAGCTGGAACTGTCATTATTACAAATTCAATTTAATCTGATAATGTGTGATCGCTGATCGCAGATATATTAAAAAGAGGAAAAAACGCTGATATCATTAATTAATTTTTCGATATATGCATAATATCCGAAAAGTCAAATTTGTGAGACCTCCCGATCCATTATCTGTATCCATCGTTTGTACCACATTTAAAGCAAATAAACGATGATTCAGATTCTGATTCAGCTAAATGCTCTCATTTAAAATGTGACACGTAGCCCCTTCTTGCTGAAACAGTTGCAGTATACTGAAAATATCCTGAACAATAAATAGTAGAAATAGTGTTTTTCTTTTTGCAAAGGGCTATTAAGAGTACCTACAGCGTTTTTTATGACGCTATATATTTGTGTACAGCAATCAATGCAAGATGTTGTTTTTTGCTATTTTACGTATCTTTTCTAATTACCGTTAGATTAAGTACTAGCCTTATCTAATTACCGTGACCAGAAAATTTTTGGGTCTCATTTACGCGAAAACCACTTTGAATAATTTGACGCCTATACGATACTTAAATTCGTACTTTTCATGTGTTTGATATTTAAATGAGTTTAAGTCAATTAAGCCAAATTTCAAAAATGATATGGTAATTAGGCTGAGAACGCCTAATCGTGAGAATGACCGATTGAGATTTATAAATAATGGAAAGCATCTCTAATCCATTAATTATAATTTTTAATGACTTGCTTCAGCCACAAACATGCGGAAAGCCTCATAGTAAACAAAAATCGAATCAAATACATACGCAACGTATTGAACTTTTTGAACTCGTTTCAAATATAAATAAAATCATCTGAAAACACGAACCAACCGATTGCAAAGGCAGTGTTAATCCAATTTACATTTGGAAAGTAATTTATACGGTATTTACTCAAATGTTAGATGGGAAAAGATACACTCAAACGAATTACGTTCAGAGCAAGACTTCAAAGTTTGTCACACATACACTCGCATGTATACTCGGTACACATATCAAGTATCAAATACTTTCCGGCAATGATTACTGATTTGAGATGATTAAAAAAAATCTTTATTTGATTGAAACAAAAAATATACCTAATTTATGAGTAAGCCCTTACTTTGCTTGTCTTTATTAAGTACTTATACCATTTTGTAAACGAATAAAATCAGTGAAGAATCTACATTACACTAATAGATTACATTGTCTTATAGACGTAAAGTATTTATTTGGCAATAGTAAGCCTTCGCCTAAGTTCAATATTAAGTTAAGTAATATTTAAGTGAAAGTTACTTAGTAGAGTCGAAAATTTACCGCGATCAACCACAGCACTCTAACACTAATGCGTTAAAATGCGTTATAGTAAATAAATAATTAGTAAAATTACAACATTAAAAAGACGTAGGTACTTAACTTATTAAAAGGTAGCGCTTTACTAAGTTATCGAAGATAAGCTACTTATTGCGGTCAGCAGGAAGGTATCCATTTCCAAGCTCATTCCCTATTGGAACTCCTTTGTAGCTAATATATTTCTGGCTAACAAATGGTTATTACATTTATTGAAATTTAGGAAAAATGATATGCAACCAAAAAAGTACGGGAGGCTCGAATTCTAAAAGTAAGTATAGGGTGCCAAATACATATTTCATTTGAAGCTAAGGTTCCGATGTCAATAAAGATTCGACAGGACGTTGGTTCGATCCCTTTCGATCGCTTGACTTTTGCGTTGGTTATACACTATATTACCACAAAATACATTATACTTGTTTCCATGAATATTGTAACTACGTGGACCTATGTATGAACCTTTCAGGACTCGCGGAAGTTGTTTTTAATTACTTGACAAGAGTATACGAGTATTACTTATTTCAGGCAAATACAGTCACTGAAACGTATAATTAACACGATCAAAACATAAAAAAGCAATATGGCAACTAGTAAATTCATATAGCAAGTAGTTACTCAT